TGTCATTTATATGCTATCGCATAGGGGACTATTGATCCTCTGTGTTAGCAATAAAATCATCAGTTAAAAAAAATATATATATATGTTGGAGACTCCCCACCCCCACATACACAGATATTTCGGTTCTCTTTTCGGCCACATGCATTCTGAATTTTCTGTATCCGTTTCGGCACCAGAATTTTCATTTCGGTGCACCACTTGTGTGTGTGTGTGTGTGTGTGTGTGTGTGGTGTGTGATTGTATATATATATATATGTATGTATATGTATATATATATATATATATATATATATATATATATATATATATATATATATATATATATATATATATATATATATATATATATATATATATATATATATATATATGAGAGAAATGCATAGGGAAGAGCTTTTTTTTTTTCCAAGCATGAGTGCAGAGCAGATGATTCCTTCTCAATCTCTGCAGCCTGTCCTGTGTTTACATCAGCGCTGCCAGCCAAAGACTGTAGTGAGCGGTGAGCCATGGGTGCTTATTTGCACTGTTTGTTTTATGGACTGACACATGGATGGACTTATTATTGGTTCACAGCGAATAATAATAGATATTTTTGGATTGAACTTTCTTTATAAGATCACATATCTTTATTGACACCATTTTTAATTTGACTACACTTTAGATATTTTGGTATGTGCACAAGAGCAGCGGCTCTCCCAGGTCTTTCTCTGCTCATTAGCTGAGACACAGCAGCGGGAGCCATTGTCAATCACAGCCAATGAGGAGGGAGCAGGAGGCAGGACTGAGCCGCAGTCTGTGAGTCCCATAGACACACAGGGATGGCTCGTGAGCAAGCATGCATAAGTGCACCTAGAGCAAGCGGCTTGCCCTGGGGGCACTTGGTAGGGGGGAGCAGCCAGAAGCATCGGCTGGGTCCCAAGAAGAGAAGAATTGGGGGTTGTTCTGTTCAAAACCATTGCACAGTGCAGGTATGTAGGATGTGTTTATTAGAAAAAAAAATCAAATCTTTGGGACCACCTTAAGGGCATGGTGGATGGATCCAAATATAGGGCAATTTGAATGGTTTTCCTGCTAGCCTGCAAGAGACCTAAGACTTGGGTGGAGGTTTCCTTTTCAGCTGGACAGTATGCCAAAACACTGGAGAGTTCAAAGCTCACCACCCGTTACAATATGATTGTGCAAACTCATTTAGATCTACAAACAAGTATGTAGAGCAAGGACCTGCCTGATTGGACAGTTTAGGTAGGTTCTCATTTTATTAAAATCCACAAAGATTGTACAGCCATATTGTAACGTGTATGGTGACCTTAACTCTTTAGGTTGTAAAAAACACAACTGCCAGCTTTTTTGTTTAGCCTTTGTGTCACAATAAATATTCCAAGTGCTAAGCGTGTTTAAAACAAATGGTTAAAATGCTAAATAAACAAAAACAAAATGTCAGGTTACAAGACTATAAAATGAAGGAAAGTTTTAGGGGATAAAATATTGCCCCTGTAATTGTGGGCTGGTACTGTTTGTATTAGATCATGATTTTTTTTTTTTTCAGGTTTTTACTTTTAAGCGTGGGTGTGTGTTGTGGTGTTTAAGGGATAAGTTCACCTTTTGGAACATATTGCATGTTCCACGCATTTTTAGGGTGAAACATGTAACGTGCTCCCACTGCTGCAGCCGCAGCCGCCTGCTGTCCTCTCTGCCTGTGACAGCAGTACAGGGAGAAGTTAGCTGTCACGTTTTGAAAACGGGGTGACTCTACCCATGCAGCCACATCATTCATTCACAGAGTTGTATGAATGAACTACAAGTCCCAACAACCTTTTCAGCTGTCAGCTTGTAGTTCTCAATGAATTAGCATAGGGCTGTTGAGCTCTGTGGTAGCTCATTGATTCTTCCTGTCACAGTATATCTGCCTGCCTGTACGAGGTACGAGCACAGATACACTGACAGGTTTGCAGGAGTCCTGCATAGCACCAGCGATCTACCTACCGATTGCTGCTGAAATGCTTTCCAGGCTCCTAACAAATTAATAAATAAAATAATGAACATTTTTGTTACCAGCAAAAAAAATTGGCCATTTATTATATTTTTTTGTCTAAAAAGTGAACTTATCCTTTAAACTTTTGACTGGAACACCAACTTTTATTTATCAATTTTATCTGATTAGTAAAAAAAGATTTGGTCACCTTTTTAAAGCAGCCTCCTCTCTTGTACATGTGTGCAGAGTAGGGTATCTGGGGATTTGCTCTAAGGCTAATGCAGGCCAAACATGGGTTGAATTCCAAACAAATTTTCTTTATAAAATCAGAAATTTTGTGCGTTTTGAAATGTAATGATGCCACCATTTGATTTCGAAATTCAACCAGCCAAGCCCTCAATTTCACCTCATGTTGCTACAGAAAAGAATTTTTGTGGCCAAGAATTTTTTCTTTTCTTCCCAGGTCACAGCTCATGCTTGTGTGTGTGTGTGTTTTTTTTTTTTGTTGTTTTTTTGTTTTTTGTTTCTATTTCTCGTGCAATTCTCCCATCATTTGAAATTTGTTTGTTTTTCAAAATATTTCCAACATGCCCGATCATTCAAATTCAAACGAACATTCTCAGAAAAGATTTTTGAAAGACAATTATTTTGGAATTCGACCCGTGTATGGCCAGCTTAAGACTCTTATATCCAATGTGTTTGTCAAGTGATCAAGTGGGCTGGAGTGAGTGGAATACATCTTGAAAGGGCTATCAAGGGCCACACCTTTTTAATTCCAGAAAAATATTTATGGCATGGTGATGATGAACATTTTATAATAATTGCAGTTTACAACAGCTTAACTAAGAAAGGGGCTTTAGCGCATTTAATAAAGAGCCCAGTAAATGTTCAGCTACACAATATTATCTAGTGAGCTCATACATCAACTAGAACAGCTGAGGACTCCTTTAATGTAAAAGTTTAAATATGTGAGGGTCCGAATGGTTAAACACTGGTCTGCCATACCTGCATCATACCGTTTTAAGTACGTCTACCCATAGATGCCTGTAGAATTATTGGCTGGAACAGAGAAAGCAGAATGTTTAGCGTGGCAGTGATGCCATCTACTGGTTAACTGACACACTGCAAATACTAACAGCTTCTCATAAGATGTAAAACCTTCTGAAATGGAGAACCTAAACATACATAAAACTACAAAGATCTCCAATTTCTGTAGTCCTGACATGAGTGAGATTTGCTGTGATGAGGTTTTAGGATATGCAGATTGCGACAAGGCCTCAGGCGCGGTTCCACACTTTGAAGGAATTTTTTTTTTTTTTTTTAAAGTGTATTTCCAATTTTGCAGCCAAATTTTGGGTTTACACTTGCGTTTTATATTTGTTACATGTGCCAATTCACATAGCATTAATTACAATCAAAAAATTGCAGCTTACTTTTTTAACCAACTGCCTACCGGGCCAATTCTGACATTTCTCTCCTATACATGTAAAAATCAGTGTTTTTGCTAGACTAGTAACCCTCAACATTATAAATTGTTTTTTTGTTGAAGAGGCCCTAGAGAATAAATTGGTGGGTTGTTGCAATTTTTTTTATGCCACACGGTATTTGTGAAGTGGTTTTTCAAACGTAATTTTTTGGGAAAAAATCAGCTTTAATTAAATTTTATTGCACACAGACACTATACATGCCTAATTGTTTGTTAAAATATAAAAGCTGATGTTACAATGAGTAAATAGATACCTCACATGCAACGCTTTAAAATTGTGTATGTCCTTAGAAAGGTGGCAAACTATGGGGCCTAAAAGTCTCCATAGGCAACCCTTTAACAGCCTTTACAGGTTATCAGTTTAGAGTTACACAGGAGATCTAGAGCTAAAAGTATTTCTTTCACTCTGACATTTGCGACTCTACTTCACAAGTGTGGTGCAATCATCATTTACATATGTGTGCAGGACTTTTTTTTTTTTTTTTTTTTTTACACTTTTTTTTGTTTGGTTTTTTTTTTATTAACTTTATTGCTTTCATGAACAGCATCCCTTGTGAAAACATTTGCCCCTTACAGGTCCTCTTTATGGAGAGATCTGCGATCTAGTATATCCCAAATCTCTCCTCTAGCTTCCCAATGCAGCTGATCAGACACAAATTGGTCTGATTGGCTGGTTACCTGGCTGCTAACAGTCAGGTAAACAAAGAGACCAAACAGAAGTGACAAAATCCTCGCCATTTCTAGGGTCATTGAGAAGTAGGAACTGTTTATTTCTCTCTGTGTACTTCTGCTGTCACAGCTGGTTGTAGCCGTCTCAGGCTCTGCAATTGGACAGGAGAGCCCAGGAAAAGCAACAGAAAGAGGGGGGCCAATTGCGCCACCTGCAAAAGCGATAGAGTGGCTATTCAGCCACTGGAATCACTTTTGCTGAAGAGGGAATCGCTGGCTGCAAATTTTAATGCCGGGATGATGCCTGTAGGTGCAGGCATCATCCTGGTATAACCACTTCAAACCAAGGACGTCATATGACATCCTATGGGTGGAAAATGGTTAAGATGATCTATTCTGGACCCTCCAGCAAGCACAAATCCTATTTTGTCTTTGTTTATTAGGGGGTTGGACAGCTTTGTTTGCCATAATTAACCCTGTTTAATTGTAACTAGATTAGTCTGTCCTAACAGTGCTATAGGTGGAAAGGCTTCTTGTATTGTATGTTAATGAAGACAGACTTGGGACAGACTCGCTGTGACATTGTTCAAAAAACTTTGTAATCAGCCATGACACTTCCTCCTGAGACATATGTAGGTAATAATAAAATAAATAAATAAAATGTAGGCATGGTATGTGAATGAGAACATATAACAAACCTATAGTGGGGTTTTCTGTCATTTGACTGCAAAACTTGAAATACGCTTTTAAAGCCCAAATCCAGCCTCTTGGCAATCTACCACTTGTGATTACAAGCTTTCTAATGAAATATTTTTGATTATATGCCAGTCCTTGATCTATTCTTTTTCTTTCTTGTAAGGTGTCGATGGATCAATGTTTGAGATTCTTCCTCAGTCGAACTCACTTCCAATTCTGCGCCCCTGCAAGCTTTGCTCTCATGATTGGAAACCCTGCATCTGCTCATATCGTCTAAGCTTGGAATGGATACCATGCAGCCTGAAATATTGCAAAAGCCGAGATTCATCCGGCAAGACCACTTCTTACAAGTGTGGCATCCGCAGCTGCCAAAAAGGCTACAGCTTCCACTTCTATGTGCCCCAGAAACAGCTATGCCTGTGGGATGAAGAGACATAGCAAAGTCCATTTTGTAGCTTCAATCTCTACCATTGTGCCCATAAATGAAAGAGGACCACAACTTCTTGAGATCCAACAAGTGCATTTCCCTAAAGTTACTTCTGTACTGTGAAACTTTAGGATCTGGTAAGAAGTAGACTCTGCACATTCACCTTACTTTTGTTGAGAAGAAACAGGCTTATCTATTTTAATTGCACAATGACTGAACCTTCTCAGCACTTCTAATGTGCCTTATCACAAATATGAATTCTCTTAAACCCAATAAGTATCTTATCAAATGTAGGTACCGACCTCTAGTAGGACTTTACTGAAAGAACCAGTATTAAATAAAATAAATAAAAACTGTGAATATCTGGGAATTAACCCTTCCCTTGTCAACAGGACCAGTACTACATGACACAATGCCTTTTTCTGGTCCCTCTGGCAACAATGGGTTAAATACTTCCTGTGCCTTCATTTAATATGACGTATTTTGATATAGTTCAGATATTTTTTTTCTATGAAGATGCCTTTTTTTGTATGAAAGAAAGGTGAAAAGAAACCTTTTTGAACAAAATATTTATCATTTGTAAAATAAAATGATTTTTAAAGTACTTTGTGTGCCATCAGCTTGTTTTAAAGTTTATTCTTTTACTTTTTTTTCAATAAATTGCATAATGTTAATCTATAAAAAACAAAAACTAATAACACAACTCTAACCATATGCCCAACTTAAAGTGGTATTAAGCCCCAAAACAAAAATGGATTATATGGCAGCTTACCAATTCTTAGATCTGATGGCTGCATTGGTTTCCTTTTTAGGCTTTCTTCCTCTATTTTCATTTGTTGATCCGAACAATACGTCTGTTATTTTTCGCTTCCTTTAACAGACCAAGCAGTTCAGGAAAAGTGGTAGTTAGAGGGTTGAAACAAACTATTCACATTGACAGGGGTGTTGAAAGTAGTCAGCTTTTATTCATTTATGTAAAACTATTTCCCACAAGGAAAAAAACTGTTGTGACTGCTTAAATAGTGTTAGCTGGAGTCCGACGTTGGTTTGTTAGGAAAGTCCATCTAAATCTCAAGTCTAAAGCTGGGTATACACTTGTAGATTTTCAAATGAAAATTTGTACGAAAATTCTGCGTATGTGCAACAGTCATTAGTTTGAGATTTCAATTGCTTTTAGCATTCGATTGTGGAATGAATGGACTTTAGCGAACGCAAACTACATACACTGTTAGAAATTCATACATTTGAGAAATATTTCCCATCCTGCTTCTTCAAAGTGTCTCGTCACTGCGGTAGAAAACAATCAACAATTTGACCCCACTAATGATTAAAAAAATGAACATTTCTTGCAATTAAAAATGTTGAGTGAATTATGCTAGTGTATACCCAGCTTACCACTGCTGCTGCCCAAAGGTGTCTCTGTTGCTCTTCCACCCACAGTGGAGACACCCTAGGAAGTGTGTTACTGCCTGGATCTCCAGGTAAAAATAAAGGGGTGGGGGGGTGGGTAGGGGAAGGCTAAAGAAAGCAAATGCAGCCACCATATCTAAGGACTGGTATTCTGCAGTACATTACATTTTTGGGTTTAGATACTTTAGGACCATTTCATATACAAAAGCTAAAATGCCAAGGCATAACAACCCTCAATAAAAACCACACCCACCATATCCCATGCTCTCCTGAGTGCAGTTTTGACAATACTCTCAATACAAATTCCCCCCAGACAGTCAGTATACTTTTCCAAATTAAAGAGGACATGGGAACGAATATGTGCAAAAAAGGGATACGTCAATAATGTTCATGCATCAGAAGTACATGGAAAGCAAAGAAACAATGTACAAGTTCTAAAAGACCTCCTTTTAAGCAATGCCTTATATTTCAACAGATCATGCCAATCAAAAATGATGTCAGCAGTTTTCCATGCCAAAGATAATATCCTGTGGAAAGGTGGTCTTTATTGTTGTACTACACATTTATAGCAGGGGAAGCAGTCATACCTACAACCATCCTGCAAAGTCTAAAGCTGCTGAACAATCTTGTCTGCTCTCTGTATTCTTTTACATAGTCCTCTTTTATTGGGAACTGCAGATCCTGTAATGGGACACTTCCTTCCCTGCACACCAACAAAGTCGCAGCCAAGTATACAGAAGGGAGCATGCTGGTTTCCCTCCCACCTACCTCTGCTTGCCTGCATTGAGTGGTGTTTGGCATGGCTGGATCTAGGCAGTGATGCACCCCCCCCCCCCCCATGGATGCTGTACCATTTCTGTGATTTCCTCTTTCCATCTTGCAGTGCACACAGCCTGGGCATAGGACATGCAGGAGAGATCTTTGTCCCCACGCAGCACATAGCTGAGGTCAGATTCTTACAGACAGACTCCATCTGCACAGTATTTAGCTGCCTGCTATGTTGCTGTTCTGACCTGTGAAATCCCTAGATTGGAACAGTAGCTGCTAGCCAGCTACACACTGTACAAGTGGAGGCTGTGTCTTTAAGAATCTGATCTAAGCTACTTTATTTCTTATTAAACATTTTTTATGGTAATGCACTAGGCCTGTGCGCCCTGTTTGTTCTTTCCTCATTCAGTATATTTGGATTTCCCCTATTGAGAGCAGCAAGGTGTGCATGTTCCAAGACATTCTTAATGTGGTTGTAGCCTGCATCGAGTCCATCCCCAAGGCAGGGTGTTTGAATGAATTGAGACTGCTCTGAGCTGTGAAGGTACAGGAACTGTGAATATGCAGGAATTGGGCTGATCTGAGCTGTGAAGGTGCAGGAATTGGGGCAGAAGTAAAATCTTATGGTGCAGAAATTAGGACTGATTTGAGGTGTGAAGGTGCAGAAATTAGGCCTCATCGGTGGTGTGAGGGTGCAGGAATCTCTAAAGTGTGAAGGTCAAGCAATTGGGGTGATCTGAGGTGTGATGATGCAGGAACTTCATTGGCTCCCGATTGCCCAATGCATCAAGTTCAAGCTGCTAACCCTGACCTACAAGGCCATTCACAATGCCGCCGCGAACTACATAACTGACCTGATACCAAGATACTACCCTACCCGTGCCCTCCGCTCCTCACAGGACCTTCTGCTCTCTAGCTCCCTGGGCTCCTCTTCCCACGCCCGATTGCAGGATTTCTCCAGGACTTCTCCATCCTCTGGAACTCCCTACCCCAATCCATCAGACTGTCACCTACCCTCCTCACCTTCAGGCGCACACTGAAAACCCTCCTCTTCAGGGAAACCTACCCCAACCTCCCTTAACACCCGACCTCACCTAACAACTAACCTCCTCCACTTCTCCCACCACTCCATCCCCCACAGCCATCTCCTCCTGTACCACCTTCCCCTCCCTCCTAGATTGTAAGCTCGAAAGAGCAGGGCTCTCGATCCCCGTGTGTATTGTATTGTTACTGTCTTGTCTCATGTTATGTCCCCCTTGCTACTGTACAGCGCTGAGCATACCCTTTGGCACTATATAAATACTGTATAATAACTGGGGTGATCTGAGGTGTGAAGGTGCTGGAACTGGGACTGAATTGAGGTCTGATGGTTCAGAAATTGGAACTGACCTAAGGTGTGATGATGCAGGAATTGGGGTGATCTGAGGTGCGATGATGCAGAAATTGGGGCTAATACTAGCATTTCTTTTTATCCAGCGTTTTGTACCCAGCTTTTTTTCCCCAGCATCTTTTTAACTTAAAAATAAAAAACCGCTAGTGGAGCCTAATAGTTTTAGATTATGAATTTAGTTAACACTTGTCAGAAAAGCATCACAAATTAACAAAGTATAACACTGTTAAAAGATCTGTAGCCAAAAATGTTTTCTATTCAAACTATCAGTATAGCAAGATCCCTGGATGGTGCATTTACCAAGGTTCAGAAATGATAGCATGCAAATGCTAGTCCATGTGTGTATGACATCCCAGGTATCCATTGAATGATTTATCTGTGTGAACTATCTATAGGCATCCAACACATCTGACCACGATGTCTTTTATATTTTTAGTTTGCTTGATGCCTTTTTACACATGTGTTTATATTTAAAAACAACACTCCTCTCTATCCCTTCATCTGCTTGCAATAAAGTGTAATTAAAGGCAAACATTTTCTTTAGTTCTGGATGGAGAGGAGTGGATTAGAACACCTGTCAGTTTTTATTGCTCTCTGTGCTCCCATTAGGGAGCTTCACCCTCTCTGTTTGTCCTGTTTACCATTATCATTAAAAGTGAAAGTAAAAGAAACATATTTGGGTTTGTCCCCAGAAAAGTAATAAGGGGGAAATCTTCCAATGAGGACACTAGTTCTGGTGACCTGGGGCACCCCAGAGGATTATCTTAATTTGCAGGGATTCTCCTCTCACTTCCTGTGTTGGCTATGGGACAGGAAGTAAAGAGAAATCTCCCTAAGGGAGCACAGGTGGCAAAAAATAAACTAACTGGGGTTATAACCCCCATTTACTCTATCTAAAATGAAAAAAGGTTTTGCCTCTAGTTCTACTTTAATAGTGGGTGATGTACTGCAAATAACACAGTGTCCTGTAGGTGGCAGTATTTGATGGAAATGTCACAGCCAGCACAGGTGACAGGTAAAGCAAAGATTGGACAGGTGTCTGCCTTACAAATGGGCTAGAAGGAAGGTGTGCCAACTGCCAGCTGCTCCCATCCCTTTCCTGCTCTCCTGGCCCGTCATGCTATGCAAATCGATTTTTGCATGGGCTGATAGCCAAGGGCGCAGGATGTTGCCTTATGCAGGAGAGGTGTGGTGGTTTCTCTAAACTGGAATTCTGTGTGCCCTCCTAGTGCCAGCATCTGCCCCCCCTGCCTCCAGCTCCTCCATGCCATTCACAGCAGGCAGCAGGGTACACAGCACAGAGCCCTCAGCAGGATGGTGAATGTGGACTATTGTCACCCAGGTATGCTGCATTGTGTCTGCTGGGATACTGGCATCACTCTGTCATGTGTTCTCGTCTCTATTATGCTAGGCTCCAATGTAAACTGTAAGGCAGATCACCTG